CTGTGGGAAGGATGAAGAGTTAAGTGCGTGACGGATGGTAGTGTATCTGTCTGGCTATTAGCTGACACGCAGGATCGAGCTTTCAGCTGAAATGCCCGCATGGGTTTGTCTTTCACTCTCTCTCTCTCTCTCTCTCTCTCTCTCTCTCTCTCTCTCTCTCTCTCTCTCTCTCTCTCTCTCTCTCTCTCTCTTTACATAAGGTTTTACAAGGTTAGTTTAAGAATTATTCCAACCCTTATTTACAAGCAAAGAGCTGTTACCTACATCAGCCCATTTGAATGTCTTTTTATTGTTATGAAACATAGAAATATGGAACAGGATGAAGTTGGAGCCATCTGTGAGCCAGCAATTTCATTTTTTCATCTGATTTTATTTCGTTGATATCGTGTTGTATGAACATGTTCCAGACTCGAGTAAATGATCTCAGATGAAATAATGTCCTGGAGAAGGGCACAGTCAGAGTTTAGTTGCTGCTTACTGCCCGTCTTGTTGTGTAGCAGCTCACTGCTCGCTGTCCTCGGAGTGGAGCCAAGTGGCCTTGCACAGAACAGTAAGGCCAGGCACATCCCTCTGGTGTTAAAGGCTCTGCTGAAATGACGGATCTCTCCAGGCTGGGTCAAGGCGAGAGATGAGTCGTCTTGCTTTGCTCTGTTCTGTCAAACAAGTCGCAGATGAGACGGAGGGCAGGCAGTCCAAGAAAGTGGAGCATACTCAAGGTGTTAATGTACTTGTGCCTCGTACAGAATCTTGCAATCTCTAATGTCGAGCAGCTGCGAGATACGAGATACATTGAAGTGTTGTAAGCTTCCTGGCCAATTTGTTTGCAAGATTTACATTGTGGTTCTTCATGGTCAGTTTGGAGTCAAATGTCATTCCCAGAATATCAACTTCATCTCTGGTTACCAACAGTCTCCTATTCATTCTTATTACTGCTTCAGCATTACCATCATGATGCCTAAAGAATCATTATTTGTGTTTTCTCAGAAGCAAATGTTACCTGTCACCGTTTACCCCAGGCTGATATAGCCGTAAGCTGGTGATTGATGTAACTTAGAGTAGCTGGCATTTCCTCCCTCCCTCCCTCTCTCTCTCTCTCTCTCTCTCTCTCTCTCTCTCTCTCTCTCTCTCTCTCTCTCTCTCTCTCTCTCTCTCTCTCTCTCTCTCTCTCTCTCTCTTATTTTCTCTCTCTCTTTCTCTTTCTCTTTCTGTCTTGCCCTTACTTTCCCACATTTACTCACACATACTTCTGTGGTCCGTTATTAGAATTGTAAATGTGCAAAACTCGCAGACTAAATATGCAAATCCATTTTGCTAGTGTAATCATCTCAGCCATTTTCATATATTTTCTGTTGTTCAAGTTTTTACCCTCAGAATCAAGTCAGCGTGGAAAACGTATATTCCGAAGTTGCTCCCGCTCTCTATTTCATGGTTTCTGTGTGTGCGTTCTTTAATCTATCTCCCTCTTTGTGTTTTTCCTTTGTTTTATGAGAGATACTGGACAGAAAGAGGAGAGACAGAGACGAGACAATAGAGATAAGGTGGGGGTAATTTTGACTCAAGAAATCATAATAACAGATTTCAAACAAACCACAGCTTACGCACTGGACTGGAGTTTTAATTACTCGCTATGGGTTCAAATCCCTACCCGTTCCGTGGTTTGAGAGGTAATTTGTTAGTCCAGAAAGTTGCTCCCGGTGCTGCTGCCAGTCAGTCGGAGGCCTGATTACTTATCTGGCAACCGATTACTAGAAACTTTTAAAAGATCTATGTGTCAATGTTAATAATGTAGATTTAGCTTTAGCTACAACTGTGAACATTAATCCATACAAACATGTATATAGATCACTGCTCACTGCTACAAGTGAACCAAGAGAGATTAAAACAGCATGAATTGGAAATCTTTAAATTTCAACTTATAACAGTGACATTCTTCATGTATTTAAATCATGCACAAATTACAGATCTATTACACCTTCCATTGGGTTTGTTTGTGTTACTTACGAGAATGTTACAATTTCCTATACAGTGAGTATTTAAGTCATAGGCTAAAGTTCGTAAGTTCGTTGGAGTGTCAAGGCTACCGGAAGGAATAGTGGATTGACAGGTGATTGGCCGGGAAACAACTTCGTTTTTGCTCAATAAGCCATCTATCCTCGTTACCGGTGAAGGATGTGAGCGAAGAGATGGGGGAAAAGAGAGAGAAGACTGAGAGAGTGACTCAGTGTAGTGGCTGGAACAAGTCACTTCTAGCTAACAGTGAGAAAAGGATACGTTAGACGGCGTTTCGATCTGGCTTGTCTATCTCTCCTTTCATTACTCCTCCAGTTTAGCATTTTCCATCTCTGTTCCCTATTCCCTAGATTCTCCACCTCCTCTTCTTTCGTGTCACTTCTTTTCCTCCAATTCTTACTCATCCATATCTCTTCTCCTCCTCCTCCTACTCCTCTTCGATATCTCTTTTTACCCCATCTCTTTTCTTACACTCCTCCGCCTCTTCCATCTTTCTCCATCATGATCATCCACCATCTCCCGCACTCCACTCATCCACCTGAGGCGCCATCTGGGTTTTCTATTAAATTTCAGTGCTATTTCCGTGTCAAAATTTCAACTTGTTCTTACTCAAAAACGATTTATATTTTCTGAGAAACTGATCAATATATATATATATATATATATATATATATATATATATATATATATATATATATATATAATATATATATATATATATAATATAATATATATATATATATATATATATATATATATATATATATATATATATATATATATATATATATATAATATATATATATATATATATATATATATATATATATATTATAATATATATATATATATATAATAATAATAATATAATATATAATATATAATAATATATACATAATAATATAATACATATATATATATATATAATATAATATATAATTAAAATATTAATATATATATATCATCACTAATATCTATCATACTTCACATTATCATATATATATACTGATATATATTATATAATGCATACAAATCTCATGCAACATACATACATTACATACATTCTTATGACTACCAATACGACTGTAATATATTCTTCTTCATGACTTCATCCATACATACTTTATAAACATAAGAATTTTTAATATTAGAAAATGTTTATATGTAAGTTGTGAATACTTGTCTATATCATGTATGATTCACATTTTCTTGATTTATATCGACTTTGGATTGTTTTTTTGTGAAAACATAAATCTCTGTTTAGATATACGTTGAATTTGTGAATTTTCTTTATGTGTCTTAGCCAAGGAGCGGAGCGGCTGTATGTATTCTTCTTGATGACGTTATCGCGCACTTTTGCAAAGAATAAGATATTCTTTTCGAAATATTCCCAAAAAATAGTTTATATCTTCGTAAGTTTGCTAATCAATGTCTGATATAACATTGCTATGTTTAACACAATTTTTTTTTAAGTGCGTCTCTTTTATTTGTATTTTAATGTTAAAATGACGAGAATAAACAAGGAAAATTTTCATGTCAATATTTTCTGGATATAGTTAGCAAATAAAGTATTTAAAACGATTGAAATAACGCTAGAAATTTAACGCCGGTATTATCAGCACACTTTTGGCATTGTTTTAGGATAAACACAGTTCTGGACAAACACAGAGCAGCACTGTGAAGGGCATAAATTTCTGATCAATCACTGCGTTATTTCATGTCGTTTTTATGTACTCCAGAGACATGGCGAAGCAACGACTGTGTAGTTTGACGACTAATTGTAGAGGAGTTTTATTGGTGCAGTTTGAAGTTAAATGTTGTTTTGGTAAGGGCTCCTCTGCTGTGAGTGTTATTATTTATTAATTGTAAAGGTATTAGTATCTGTAAAGTCAAACAGCTGAGGATGGAGATGATATGACAAGTAACAAGTCAACGATTTTGGAATATAAGTACTGTCTCCGGCCCGCTTGTTCACTCACTGAATCAGTTGAATTACTTAATACCGTCTATATGGTGTTGTTATCCTTCTTACATGACCCATCATCAATAAAATATTTTGAAGCCAATCAGAATATGCATTGTTTAGTTACTGAATTAAAAAACAGATGAAAAAACTTAATCATGCAACCTCTGAGCGGTTTTAAGCTTATTGTGCTTTTAAGCTTACTGTGCTTGTGTATTTTAGTATATTGGTGTCTTTGGTCTTTCGGAAAGGCTTAAATTAGACTAGGTGTATGTCCTAATTTACCATTTTAATTATATAACTCAGAATATTAGTTTCCATATGATAACTTGTGAATATCTCTTATTATTCATTTCATATCTCTAATATTAATAGTCAAAGGTATTATCAACTTTTGGCACACTTTGCACTATTCCAATCGCGTATTATGAGGCACAAGGTACTTGGGTTATGGAATACGGGGATGAAATTCTCAAATCGCGCAAAGAGCGAAACTCTTCTGCTTAATATTTTCAATGGGAAGCGTTAAACTCGCAGAAGCCATAGTCTAGGAATGGGTCTCTGAACCAAGAGCCTCTTCTGTAACACCCAGTTAACCTCCCTTCTCTTAAAGAGAGTCGTCTTAAAGTTCCAGAAGCAATGCCACGAAGGTCAAGGTTTGTGGGCGAATTTTCCGTAACTGAGTAAGGAAACAAGAATATTTGGTTAATATTTTATACACAACTAGCTTATAAGGCATTTTGTCTTAAATTTATACTAAAATACATCTGGATTTTTTTTGTTTCTAAATTCGACGGGCCAGTAGAGAGGGAGGTAATATCGACGTTGTGCGAAGGTAATGGGAGAAGTGAAGGCTGGATGGAGGTTATGTCTCCCACCACAATGAAACCTCGTGTCTTCACCTCAATATCCTGCCTTAACTAGCGAACCCCCAACCATCACCCCCCTATATATATATATATATATATATATATATATATATATATATATATATATATATATATATATATATATATATATATATATA